AAATCATATTTCTCAGTTGTTTGTATATCTTTATGACAGTAGACACTATTTGGATGAATACAGCTTTGTAGTTTTAAAATGGGGAAGTGTGCATCTTCCAACTTGTGGAAATGACTATGCTGGAAATGTCTTCTGTTACATAACCTTGTAACCAAGGGCAATCTTATGTTTTGAGATCATTTCACACTATCTCAGCCTGTTTACAATGTAAGACCTTAGGATCCTTTTGTAAGGTAAACATATAGCTTTAACCCCTCACCACCCTTCCTTGCCCCTGCCCCAGAATAATGTGTGTATGTTGTGATAACATCAAGCTCTGAAAGATGTGAACATCAAACACTGAAAGCAGTGAATACATTGAAGGCAACTAATTATCCTGTTTATGTTGCAAAATACAGGCAGGATTAGACTGAAAACATCTGTTTGTGGTTGTGTATGCTGATCTGGGTGAGAGGGGTTAGAAAAGGAAAATGATTCTCTAATAAGTTTTCTTTTTCCCTTCCCATTTCTTGCTGGATATGCATTTCAATAAATAGAAAGCAATTCCTTTGCTTGGGGCACAGTTCCAGGAGAAATCAGAAGGAACAGTTCTCAAAACAGATTGGGCTCATTCTTGGTTTTAACTGATGCCAAAGGTTCAGGCACCACTGTAATGTGGCATTTCTCCACCACACCAACTTAATCTCTTTTAAGAAGGTTGTGTATTTTGGATCCCATACTTATTTACTTATTTATTTATTGCGAATTGCCCTGGCTAAAACTTCTAGTACAATATTGATTAGAAGTAGCAGGAGTAAATATTTTATCTTGTTCTGTTCTCAGGGTGAAAATAGTCAGTCTTTTAGCCATTAAGCATTATACTGGATGTAGGTTTGTCATAATAACATTCATTAGGTTGAGGAAATTCCCTTCTATTCTTAGTTTGGTTAGTTTTTCAACATGAATTTTGCCAAATGCTTTTTCTTGTCTATTAAGATGTCTATGTCACTTTTACTTTTTATGCTATTCATATGGCATATAATATTGATTTTCAGGTGTAAAATAAATCTTGGATTCCTGGAGTAAATCCCAGAAATCCAAGAATAAATCTCAGGAATCCAGGAATGTCTTTTTGTTGTTGCTGTGCTGTTGAGACAGGGTCTTGCTGGCCTCAGACTCATGAACCCCCTGCCTCGGCCTCCTGAGTGTCGAGTTAACAGGTGTACATCATCATGCCCAGCTATAAATCCCACTCTATTACGGTATATAACTCTATTTACATGTTGTTGGATTTCACCTAACAGTGTTTTATTGAGAATTAACTGAAGTTTAAAATTGATTATATTTTCCTTACACTTTAACAGTAAGATATAATGTAAGCAAATACTGTTAACCATTACACAGGAGGTTTTACTGAGTGCTTATCTATATGATTCAGACATGTGATTTATATTTTTCTGAAGTATGTGTTTCAAATCATATGCTACAGGAAAGCAAAGTGTAAAGTATGCCATTTAGCTAGTGAAACTCATCAAAAATAATCTTTCAAATCCACAAATGGCCTTATTCTCTATTTTTATTTCATCAAGCATGTTGGGGACAAAATTCTATGCTAGAGTTGAATATCTCATTTGATATTCCTCACAAGGTTCAGTTTTAGGGCAGAGGCTTGTTAAAACACACACAAGCATGCACGCACACACAACCACCACAACCACCACCACCACCACCACCACCACCACCACCACCACCACCACCAGTTTAAAACAAAAAATAATTGGAAGGATTCGAATATTTGGTAGAATATCAACTGGGGTTCAACTTAAATCTCACGGAAGAACTTAAAATCTTCACCCTTCCTGATTTTCCCCTCTCCCTTTCTTGGAGGAAGCCACATTTAAAGACCATATCTTTTGTGTCTTCATCCTTGCTGTCTAACCTTTGAGCAAAGAAGTCAAATATTGTAGTCTGTGGGCCAAATTTGAGCTATACATGCACTTAATTTGATACGTTTTAGAAATAAATTTAATTAAATACTCAACATTTAAGTTAAAAATGATAAGTATCTGTGTATCTGATATCTTTGGAAAAATGTGAAATGCTGGCAAAATTTTGCCTTGACTTTTACAAGTTCCTAACAGTGAACAGTGACTTCCTTCATCAACTGTGATGTATCTCTGATTTTATTTTTATTTCTCAATCCCCCCCCGTGTGTGTGTGTGTGCGTGTGTGTGTGTGTGTGTGTGTGTGTGACTGGTGTGCAAGTGCAGGCCAGAAGAGAACATCAGATCCCATGGTGCTGAGAACTGAATTTGGTCAGTTGCTAGAACAGCAGTAACACTCTTAACTGCTTAGCCATCTCTAGAGCTCCAAAATAGCTTTCAGTTTGCCATAGTCCTATAAGGTTAGATATGGCCAATTTTACTACTGATAATCTGGACTTGGCTTCTGTAGGTATTAGAGTTCATGCTTCCTGTTGTCCTTAGTTTTTCTCAGATTCTTTCTAAAATTTTCACCATTTTTTTCTATTACACTGACTAGTATAACTTCCAGCAGGAAGTTTTTGAAAATGGAGAAGACAGTCAGGGGCCTTCTGAACACTGTAAACAATAAAATGCCCATTGAAGACCTTTATTAGCTAGAAAAGGGGAAAATCCACTTAACTGGTTATGGTAACTTTGCTCATATAAGACTGCTTACTGGGATGGAAAGTCCAGTTCTGATCACGTTGCAAAAGCACAGAGTAACAACATTAGTTTTGTGGAAGAAGACAGAGGAGATAATAAGAGAAAACAGTACAGTGATATCAAGGAGACCTACAAGAAGACCCCAGTGTCAATGGCATCCCATATAAACAACATGCATACCTCTATGATGACTTCAAACAAAGCTGTTACTTTCTTGGGAAAATGTCACTTGTAGGGTTTAAAAAATCCTTGACTATGGGGGGAGAAGTTCTGTTTACTTCAGTTTGTTTCTTTACTCTGCCTTTCAAATCTTTATTTGTATTTCTCAAAGGCCTCAATTATCTTAGAGATACTATGATGGCTTTGAAATATTTAATATTTGCTATTAATTTTCTTTCTAAACACAAGTACTTCCTGCCCTCTACAATAAAAAATATTTCATTACTAGGTTAACAAGAAAAACAAGATGAGAAAAATCAAAAGCTGTATTAACAAAATATGTGTATGCTTAGGTTTGTAAATCACAGTTTAGCAATCCTCTGCCTAATGAAAGTAACATGTATTAATTTGCAAAACAAAGGTGAAGGCTATTTTCCTTAACACCGTTATATACTAATTATTGCACAATTAGCCTCTACTTTTTAATTAGTTTTAGAAAGCAGAAAATCTACTTTATAATAGTAATTAAATAATATTTTATTGGTTACACTATTATGTCAGATGGAATTCAATAATTTAGATCAAAGTAGATTGGCATATTGCACCTCTATGAAGTCATTCAGAAAAATACAAAGCAATTATATTTTATTATTTGCTAACTTGTTCCTACAAATAGTTACTATATTTATGGTACAAATAAAACAGCATAAATTGACATAAATGTTAACTCAGAATAATTAAATACAAAATGTTTAGATTTCTAGTCTACAATAAATCCTCAATTAATGCAGAATCTAATTTTATAATTTTCACTCATAATTTCTCATGGAAGTTTCTTTACAAGGTCTTGCCTTAAAGCACTTAAAAGTTAGAACAGGGCTGGGGAATGGCTCAGTTGGTAGAGCTTTGTCCCTCCTCCCAAAGCATGAGGGCCTGAATAGGAACCCCAGCATCCATGTAAAAAGGCCAGCTCAGCAGCCTGAATTGCTAATCCTAGGGCTGGGGAGGGAGAGACTGGCAGATCCCTGAGGCTCCCTGGCTAGTCTAATACATGAGCTCCAGGTTCAGGGAGACCTTGTTTCAAAAAATGAAAAGAAAAACAATACTGAGGAATGCACAGTGGACATAAGAAACAGCCCTCTCTCCTCAAAGGGAATAAGAGACAGTTTATTCTAGACCAAGGTATGAGTAAACTTAAGTGTTATAGTAACAGAACAAAGAAAATCATAAGTCAAGGCCTTTCAAATACACCTGTGGAAATACTGGGTAGTAAATCTCTGCTATAGGGCTCAGATGCTATCTGATGACATTCTTAGCTTTTGGGTTGGTGGAAGCTAATGCCCTGACAAGTTAATACATCTCAAATGATATCCCTGACAGTCACAGGACATTAGTGGGTCAGCCACACAAGGTAGGCTAGGAATGGCTATTAATTAATGGGGCTAAAGATAATCCAAGAAAAAACTGTAATTAAGCTCTGGACTTGCAACATTTCAATCTCTCCACAATTACTCAAGTTCTAATCAGTTAATAGCCCTTGTAGAAAGTTCAGTGTAAGGTGAGGCTGCTTTCTAGGACACTTACATTCACAACATCCTAAGTTAGCTGCCACACTCACTCACACACACACACACACACACACACACACACACACACACAAAGTTATAATAGATCACTTCTTCCTTTCCCTCTCTTTAGTATATATTTAGCAAAATCCTATTCCTACACAACTAGATATTAGTTGCTGGACTCACAGGACTTTCCTATACTCTTCAAACTGGTTTTAATACCTTAAAATAGCAAATCCTACAGGTTGCAAATACTGACCACTATAAATATGTTAACAAGTGCTTTGCCCCCATTTTTCCTGTCCTAAGCCATGAGCGCCGCTCTCGCTACCAACCAGGAATAAAACAGACTTCTTATCAAAGCACAAATTCCCTACTCAAGAACTTCAGGTACAGGAGATTGCCTGCATCCGGAGCATGTTAAAGGCTTAGTCTACTTAGGTCTTTGACTAGATAAACCTGACCCAAAAGAAGAACATACCATAACTCCCGCCTCTGCTGCGCCCACCAATCACAAACGTCCTTCCTCGGGCCGCGCCCTCCGCTCTGGCTCTGGAACGTGAGCGCGGATTGGCGCTTCGCTGACGCACGACGCGCTGACGTCACCCGACGCCTGGATAGCATTTTCTCGGCCGTTGCACTGCCCGAAACTCCGCCCTGGCCTCCCCGCGGCGCCCTGGAGGCCGAGCCCCATGTGGGGGTTCAGGCTGCCGCGGTTCTCGGCGGTGCTGCTGCTTCTGCGGCCGCAGCTTGCTCCGGGAGGCGCCGCATCCGGTCCGCAGGTCGGAGCCATGAATCTGGGCGATGCGCGGGGCACCCCACCTACAGACAGACGCCGCCTGCAGCGCTCCACGGTGCGGGGCGCCGATCCGCAGCGCTGTAACGAGCTGCTCCTGCTGCCGGCCGGGGAGGGAACAGAGCGCCGCGGCCTCCCCGGGGAGCGGGCTGCCGAGGAGCCGCCGCAGCATCATGTCCTCTACTTCCCCGGGGATGTGCAGGTAACGCGGGCCCTGCACCTGGCGCTGCTGTTTGGTGGTCTAGCTGTTCCCGCGTGGCTGCTGTGGGGGCCCGGTCTCCACAGACACACCCACGCGTGCCCTCACTGGAAAGAAAACCCAAACCGCCTCCTCCACCCACAGGAAGGTGTCCTTGGGGAACCACAGTCTCCATGGAACCAGCTATGAGGCCAGGCGTTCAAAGGGGAATGGAGCTTAATGGGTGTCCACCTCTAGCCAGGTTTCCCTGTGGACACTGTGTGTGTGTGTGTGTGTGTGTGTGTGTGTGTGTGTGTGTGTGTGTGTGTGTATGTGCGTGCGCATGTGCGTGCGCGCGCGCGCTCTGGGTACAGTACACAGTGTTCAGAAAACGCTGACAGCAAACAAAATACAAACCCATTCCTAGAGTGACCCTTTCGGTGAGCCAAAAGCTGTGGCTGTGCAAAAAAAAGGATATTGATGGCTCAGAATGCTAATGTTATTGATGCCACTTAAATTTTGTACTTCTGTTTGTTTTGTGTTACTGGTTTTAGAGTAAATGTCCATACTAAAGTTGTCCTGAAAGGTGGGTTTTAGTCTAAAATTGCATTGCCTAGTGAACACGAGTTAGCCGTGATTCCTGAATTAGTTAAAATGAAAAGTCAGGGTCTGTCTCACTGGTTGCATTGCAAGTATTCGATCAGCACAGGCTGATGGACAGAGCAGATACAAACAGTATTTCCATTGACCATATCAACCATCACAGAAAGTTCTGTTAGCTCTTGTGTAGAAGTCAAGTTCAATATAGCTATGTGTTTTCCTTATACCACGAAACTATTAATTGTTTTTGAAATTGGTACTTTAAAGTGGCAAATTTCAAAACTTTGAGTTGAAGAATCATAAACATTCTCTCTTCCTCTCAAACTAATTGGTCTAGTTGACTGCTAATAAAAACCAATAAAAGAAACCAACCCTCAACAGCCTGCATGTTTCTAATGCTGACTTCCAGATTTGTGACCAACTACTATATGTATTCCGGTGATGATGATGATAATGACTAGTGACTAAGCCTGAGTACTGTCTGTTTGTGAAAGTGTGCCAGCCAGAACATCTAACCTGTCCAGATGAAGTCTAAGATGGTCTAAATACATAGTATCACCTTTTCTTTCACCACCATCCATTTGTTTTTTTAGCCCAAGGTTCCATTAGCTTCTTGTACAGTGATAGAAATAGGAAAAGGAGTAAAAGAAAGCAAATGGAAAGGCTTTGAGGCCAAACTGCCAAGATGTAATACCCAGTTATGTATTTTTGTGTATGAAATCTGCAGGTATTGTATTACCTCAGCTAAATGGGAATACTAGTTCAAAGGGAATCAGTGGAAATTAAATATATGAACACCCAGAGATTTCCAGCCCCTTCTCATCTTTCTGGGAACAGTAAAATATTCAGGTACCCTAGTGCTCCCTTCTTGGACTTTTTCCTCTATCTTTACTCTCTTGGTGATCTCTTTCAATCCTGTGACTTTACATGTTGCCTATACTCTGACAACCCTTGACATTTATATATTTATGTACACGTATGCCTGGGTTTTATTTAGAGTCACCAGTTACTTCCTTTGGGATATTCAGTAGCCATTTCAAACCAAAAATCTCTAGATATTTCCTCCTGTGCAGTCTTCCTCATTCCAGTTAATGAGAATCTACCTACTTGGTTGGTCATCTTGAAGTTGTCCTCCAGAACTCTCTTTCATACCTCATCTCTAATCCAGCGGCACATCTCACCCAGCTCCACCCTCTCAGTGTAACGAAAGTGGTCAGAACAGTGGTTTAAAACTGAAAGTCTCCTTATGCTACCCTTTCCAAACCATCAAAATGGCTTCCACTTCCATGTCACTTGAGTAAGAGCCAGTCAGTAGCCTGGAAGGCTTTTCACGCTCTCTCTCTCTTTCACGTTGCTTTTTAAACTTGCACTCTGCCTCAGCCTCCCAGGTGTTTTCGTTGTTCAAACATGTCAGGCACACTTGACCTCAAAAGCTCTGCGTCTTCTGTCCAGAATAGTCCTCCTGTAGACACCTGTACTTACTACCTCACCTCTTTTAAGTCTTGTTAGTAGTTCCCTTCTCAGTGAGGCTTTTTGTGACCATCATAATCAGACATTTCTACAGCATCTAACAGTTTTTCTTTTTTATTTCATCAGTATTCATTACTTTTCATTTTGGTTTTTTGGTCTATTTTCTCCTACTAAAATGTAAGTTCATGCCTGTTCACTGAAAAAAAAATCTCTGATGCTTAGTGACTGGCATGTTTTAGGTGTTCGGCAAATAACTTCTTTGAATAAATGAATATATGTAAGTTTGTTTTGAACAGTACAAGAAGTGCTTGAGATGGTTTTATATAAAGCACTTTTAGCCTCAGACTCCTCCTCATCTATAACTGCATTTTTTTTGAGCCTAGTGTTTATCATTATGAAAATTTCCCTGTGAGACATAGCTCATCTTTTAGTGTGCTGATCCTTTTAGAATGCTTAGGTTTGTTTTATGTAGAGCAAATAAGCCTTCTTTAAATGATTTTGCTTTGATTTGAGTAACTGTTGAACAGAATAGGGTCAGACAATTTTGTAAGAAGCCATTAGAAGCTTTGCCTCATCTTGGCACTGACTTATCGCTTGATACTAACTAAAACGAGCTATCCATGTGAATTTATATCCTGCTTGATGTTCCTTTCATAGTAATTTTTTGTAGTATGTCCTTATTCTATACTTATCCTTTCATTAACACCTTTTACTTAAAAAGGTCATCATAGTTTATATAACCTTAGATACTGCTTTAGATGGTGTATGATTTTGAAGGGGAATGAGAATTTGTTTTCAAGGAGGTACTTTCGAAACCGTGTAAGTGACCATAACTTTTTAAACCCTTGGAATAGAATTATGATTTTTTAAAAATATAAGAATATAACTTGCTGAATATTGACAAGTGTTAGACTTAGGAACCCATCAGCACAGTCATGTTTGAGAGCGTATCTGTCCTAAGAGGCACCTCTGCCCTTTGTGATCAGTTCTCTTTTCCTCATCCTAGAGAATCAATTATCTGGTTTTTTGTTGTCATTTTATTTTTTATTTTGTTTTGTTCTGTTTTTTGCTATAGTTTTTGCCTTTTCTAGAATTTCATTAATCTGGAATTATTTAGTATTTAATCTTTTGTGTCTGACTTCTTTGATTTAGTGTAATGGTTTTGAAATACATCCTTACTGTTACTCGTGTCAACCAGTTTGTTGCTTTTTATGACCACTGAGTATCTTCTGTATGGATATACAAATTTGTTAATTCAGTAGTTGAGTAGTTCATAACATATCATTTGGATCCTACCACACCTTTTTTTTTTTTTTTCCCCTGTTTTTGAGCTAGGCTTTCACTCTACAGCTCAGGCTGGCCTTGAATTCACTGTATAGCATTGGCTGGCCTCAAATTTGGAACAATCCTCCCGCCTCAGCCTCCAGAGTACCAGGATAACAGGCATGCATCAAATTTTGTTTTGCTACAGGGTAAATGACCATTGTGATATGTCTGAGTCTTGCTGTCTGGGGTTTCCTGGGTTGGGCGGTCCTCTTTGGCTGGATGATTGTTCTTCTCATTGTAACCTGATTAGTTAGGATGTGTACTTTATGCTCAGCAAAGATGTCACCTTGGTACTTTTTTGAGAGAAGAGTAGTTCTTACCCACTGTAGCTTTCCTCACTCTGTTCAAAAGGTAGTCCACCTACTTTAAATCTTTATCATGAATGCTTCTAAACTCTTAGAAACTGGTGAAGTCTTTGGCCCCGACTTCATTGCTGTATGGCATGGTCCTCAAAAGTTTTTGCAGGTCATCAAACATCTAACTATAGGCTAAGCAACCCTTAATCTCTGTAAGAGATTATTTTGCTGTCTGCCTCACTGGGGATGCATAGATGCAGAGCCTCCACTCCTTATCTCCTTCAAGGATAGGAAGTGCATTGCATCCCCGCATCAGATGAAAACTCTGCAAAGAATACCCCTTCAGTAGACTAACTATAGGTAATAGCTTGAGTAGCAGAACCAATTTTGACTGCCTAGGGGAATATCTGGTGCCTCTTCTCAGGATTTGGAAGTACTTATCCCTTGTCCTCAGGTCTGGGCTTTGGTATAACAATAGCAATCCCACTCTTCATTCTGCCGCACACAATTATTTCCTCCGTGTTATCATTTTCCCCCTTCTAATCATGTAACCTGGAGTTAATTAGGGGAAGTACTGTTTAGATTTATAGCACTTTCTGTATGGGTACAGTCTAAACTGAGAGTCATTAAATCTGCCTTCACATGGATTCATTAAATAACTAATATAAATAATTGCATAGCCTCAGGACCTCAGGTTTCTTAACTACAGCAAGGATTTGTTTGTTTATTTTCCAGATGGTTTCACTATGTGCAGCCCAGGCTAGTTTGAACTCTGAATCCTCCTGACTCAGCCTCTTGTGCTGATTACATGCCAGTGCCACCACACCTATCTTATAAAAATGAATACAGCAGAGGCAGGAAAATCAGAAGTTCACTATCATTCTTGGCTACATAGGAAGTTCAAATCCAGCTCCTTGAGCCGCATGAAACCTCAAATAAAACAAAATAAACATGGTCAGGAAGATGGCTGATTAGGTAAAGGAGCATGCTGCTAAGCCTGACACAACCTGAGTTCAAGCCACAAGACCCACCTAATGAAAGAGAGCCAACTCCAACCAGTTGTCCTTTGACCTCATGTCCCATCACGCCCACAGGGAAAAAAAAATTTTTTTTTTTAAAGGAACAGATTAGCCCTTCCAGTTCTAATCTGCTATGGTTTTATAATTTTTGTATCACAAATCTAGATGTATAGAAGGTAATCCATAAAAAGTCAACTTATGATCTTATGATCTTCTTAGAATATTTTTAACATACATAGCAAGCTTCTAATACATATGGCAAGCTATTAATGAAATACAGCTATTATGAAGTAGTTATATTACAAATGGGAAAATTACCAAAGGATGCAAACAGAATTAACCAAAGGAAAAGAAACTGAAAATTGCCAACAAAGAGAAAACTGTGTAACCTGATTTCACATCAAAATATGCTGATGAAGCAAAAGCATTCCATAATTTTATCCTAGCAGGAAAGCTTTCCAAAAATTAATGCAGATAACCATCAGCATTAAAGATAGGTAAGGATGTGAGAAAATAATGCAATCTTGTAAGCTTCAGTGGAAGTGTAAATAGACATTAAATTTTACTGATGTCTAAAAATTATGATTGCAAATTTGTATGATATAGAAGCATGCCTGTAATGTATTTTTAAAGGAAAATGATGTCTCAGTGTATTGTTGCTTAGTAGAGAAGTAAGAATGTAAGTAAAGAATGTTTTCCTGTACGCATAATTATATATGTATGCGTATACTAGAGAAAACTGAACTATAGCTACTAAAATTTGAATGATTATTTCTAATACCAGTGACTTTATAGAGGATTTTTCTGTCTTTTTTTAATGCCTTTGTATATAGGTTGAATTTTTGTAATATTCTGTTATTTTTTAATAGGAGCAAATGTATATAGCACTTAGGATTTAGACTGTGAAAGCTTATGAACTGAGTCTCCATTAGCTGACAGTCCTCTGTACTTAAGTATTGAGACAGGAGAATCTCAGCATGGGCCATATAATGAGAAGGGTCTGGGAAAACAAAAGAACAAACCACTATTATTAGATATTAAAAGAACAGTAAAATGTATCTATGTTATAGGACCAAAACAAAAATATATTTTTACTTTATATAGACTGCCTTCTAAATAATTAAGTTCTGTATACAAAAGGCAAAGGATATGAACAGGCAAGAGTAGAAATCCAGATGTTAATAAATATATGAACAAAAGATTCAGATGACTAACAAATATATAAACAAAATTTCTTCTTTCCAGTTTTTAATTATCTAAATTTGAGTTATTCCATTCCTCTGAAATTTTACAAACAAAAAACTGTGAAAGGCAGTTTAGTTGTTACATCACCAACTTTAAATCATGGTTATTCTTAACTTGGTTTTTCCACCTCTGGGAATTTTAGTACGTAGTCACAGATAGGCACAAAGATTGTTCTGTCATGTTCATTGCAGGTTTGTAAAACATGAGAATTAAATCAGACACAGCAGTCAGTTGGGTTGCTAGCAGACTCTGCATGCCTACAGGGTATAGGATAGCAGCTCATTGAAAGGGAAGTGTTTTCAAATTATATCTTGGCCAAAATGTCTGTGGAATGAATCAGATTTATATTTTCAATTAAATTAGGAAGCTTTTTTTTTCCCCCTGGAGCTGAGGACCGATCCCAGGGCCTTGTGCTTGCTAGGCAAGCACTCTACCACTGAGCTAAATCCCCAACCCTAGGAAGCTTTATTATATGTAAATATAAATTTTGTGACAAAAATTCAAATTCATCCTTCTAAATTATTTCTTTTTAAAAACTCATTAATTCAGCATAATTATATTTTATTACCCTGTCTCACATGTTTTGTTCAAAATCTTTTTTTTTTTAATTTTTATTTTACGTGTATGCATGTATTGCCTGGATGTGTGTAAGTGCACCCATGTCATGCAGTGCCAGCCGAATAATTGGTTTCCCTGGAACTGGAGTTACGGATGTTTGTTAGCCACCATGTGGTACTGGGATTCAAACCCGGGTCTTCTGCAAGAACAGCCAGTGCTCTTAACTGCTGAGCCATCACTCCAGCCCCTTGTTCAAAATCTTATAACCAGAAAATGATGACAAGTTTTTAGGTTTCCTACATTAACTGTAGGTCATTATAACCTTCTACCTTCCCCCTCAATAAAAATGTGAAGTTATTTTGTGAAAATAGTTTTAGGTAAATATGTGTTTAATGCTTATTCCATCTTTCTTTTCAGAATTACCATGAAATTATGACTCATCATCCTGAGAATTATCAGTGGGAAAATTGGAGTCTAGAAAATGTTGCCACCATCTTAGCCCACCGGTTTCCCAATAGTTATATTTGGGTAATAAAGTGTTCCCGAATGCATTTGCACAAATTCAGCTGCTATGACAATTTTGTGAAAAGCAACATGTTTGGTGCTCCAGAACACAATCCTGATTTTGGAGCCTTTAAGCACCTGTATATGTTATTAGTTAATGCTTTTAACTTAAGTCAAAATGGTGTGCTATCAAACAGGAGTGTTTGGAATAAGGAGTCTAAAACATCTACCTATAAGTCTAATTCTTCTACTACTAGTAATGGCTGCCAGGGAGAAAAAGAAAGGACCTGTGAAAAACTTGATGAGTCTGCCATGAGTTTTGATCCACCATCATTAAATGGTGCATCATTTACTTTGATTGGATTCAGTAAAGGCTGTGTTGTTTTGAACCAATTGCTCTTTGAATTGAAAGAAGCCAAGAAAGACAAGAACATAGATGCTTTCATCAAGAGCATAAGAACAATGTATTGGCTGGATGGTGGTCATTCTGGAGGAAGCAATACTTGGGTTACATATCCAGAAGTCTTGAAAGAATTTGCACAGACAGGGATTACTGTTCACACCCATGTAACACCTTATCAAGTACATGATCCAATGAGATCCTGGATCGGAAAGGAGCACAAGAAATTTGTTCAGATACTTGGAGATTTGGGTATGCAGGTGACTAGCCAAATTCATTTTGTAAAGGAAACTCCTTCCATAGAGAATCACTTCAGAGTTCATGAAGTATTCTGAGAACATGAATGTACTTGTTTATTAGGAGAACATAAGTACTTTTTAAAAGTGTTAAAATTCAGATGATGAGATGTAAGATGTACTTCATTAGATGCACTGCGAGTTTGGGAGCAAGGGAGGAGCATACATTCCAAAAATAGGAGTGTCATATATGGTAGGAGTCCTTGCTTGCAGATGTCAGCACTTTGAAATTTTAATTGGGTTAGAATTAATTTGAAGTCTTTTGGGTGATTTGTGATAATTCTATGAGACCACTAAAATGAAAGAAATTTGATGATGCAGTCTTTTGAAAAGCTAATAAAGTTGTTATTGGGAATAGCTGATTTTCTGAGTAACGTTTTTAACTAATTTTAGTAGCTGTAATCGGCTTTCTTGGCACTTAAAGTTGACTAGAAACATTTCATTTCTTTGTACAAAGCACAGGTGTCCCTGATGTATCCTGCTTCTTGTGTTTTGTAAACTCCTGGGTTTTTTTGGGTTTTGTTTTTAAGAGTCAAATATATTTATTTCCATGTGTCCAAGAACATGCAGGAGTATAAAGTTGGTTTTAAAAGCGTATTGCACTTAAGCACTGTAACTTAATTTTTAATTGACAGTTTTTAATTATTTGTTAGCATCCTCTCAAAAAGGAGACAGATTCCACAGACTGAAATCAGTGTTTCTTCAGAAACATGATTTTGTCTGCCAAGAGAAAATAGCTTTCTTTGGCCAAAATGCAAAATTACATTGCAATAAGAAAGGGTACAATGGAAAGTTCGAAGACACAAATAATTTAAATTCTGGCTCAGAAACTGAATTTGCTTAACACTGCTACATAATTTGGGTAAAGTTTCCTTCTGCCCATTTTTCTTGACTAAATACATTTTGAAAAACAAAAAATGTAATGACTTTTAACCAACATTGGAACATGTGTATAAAAAATGATCAGTCACTTTTCTTTTATGAATAACTAGCTTTCCAGATGGTGAAATAACCAAGCAGGGGAATAACATGCTGCTTTAGGACTGAAATACAGACAGTAAGATTATTATCTTAAGGACCAAGCAAACCTAAGTTTATTAAACAATGTAGAAAGTGTTAATTTCTTGTTTTCTTCACAAGATTGTATTTTAATCATCCTATAAACACATTCCAAATATTCATGCTCATAAGGATTCCTTCAGACCAGGTGCTTAAAAATCAACATGGCTCTAGCTACTACAGAAGAGCGTCTGAGCTTTTCATAAGCAAGGCAGTTTTGTATTACTCCACTTCGAATATCTGTTCTTTTGTGACCAACACATCACAGAAACAAGTCGCCTCGTTTCTAACTTTTTACGTCGTATCTTTAAACATTGATTGGATGGCCATATTCAGTTTGTTTAGTAACCCTTAGTTATATTCACATGTATCACTTAATGTGAAATAGATGAATAATGAATATTCAGAGGGAGAAAAAAAGGCTTTTTACAAGAATAACTGAAGTGGAAAGATAATTTAAAAGAATTCATTTTAAAAGTCTCAGTTCTTCACCTCTCCATTTATGTAAGTGGTCAAGTGTTACATGTTAAGTTGATATTAACTCCCTGGGCACCTAGAACTGCCGTCATCGCCTTCATCTCATGAGACTGTTGTAAAGCAAAAATATTTTTGTAATAATGTATTTGAGTTAGAGCACACACAAGTTTCTTTTTAATATTTCAGGTTGGTTCTTTTTGTTTCATGTAAATGTGTCCTCTTAGATTGTGCCTTTGTAATGAGTCACCCAGAAAAGTGATCCTAGAAATGTGATGCTACCACAGCATGATTGTATAACTGTATTAAAATTAATAATCTCCAAAAATGCATTTGGATGTGCTTTCATCTTATGAACATGGTTCATTCAGATCATCATTTGAAAGGAAACTATTTCCACCTTGCCAGTTTGAGTTTCTGTGTTTCTACTTCCTAATCTTTTCAAAGTGAACAATTTTGAAAACCTTTCCTGTGAAAATACCTCTTTGTATTACTTCATAACAATTTGCATTATACCCATTTCTGTTGGGCTTCCCACGGGGCAATCCTTAAAAAGTTCTTTGAATCTTTTCTTTGCTAGTCATCGTTGATGTCTCTATTTCTTTCACCCGATAAGAGACTGTTGGAATATGGTGTGATCTTTTTTTATTTCATTCATGTAGCATCCAAGCACTCACCTAATATAAGGAGAATCTAGGCAGTAAGGATGTGATCCAATCCTGGCAACGTAGTATTAAGTCATATCCTAAACCTTAGGAAGGAAAATCTTAATGTTAAGGGAAGGTGTAAATGGACCTGTCTGTGACCCATGCTTTTTTTTTTTTTTTTTTTTTTAATGAGAATGTTGGAGGTTTTTTTTATATTTATGTGTATGCATGTATTGCCTGCATATATGTAAGTGCACCCGTGTCGTGCAGTGCCCATGGACAGAAGACTGTCATATCCCCTGGAACTGGAGTTCTGGACAGTTGTTAGCTGCCATGTGGATGCTGGGATTCAAACCCGGGTCTTTTGCAAGAACAGTGTTCTTAACCACTGAGCCATCTTTCCAGCCCCGACCCATGCTCTTTTTACAAAAATGGAGAGGCCCAGCAGCTGAGTTCCTCACCGCCAGGTAGGTAGTCTGTTTGGGATAGTCACCGTGTCTCCTAGGTATATTTAAGACACCCACTCATGGCTTGTACACTTGAGACAAGGTTACACCTGGGATCTGAGAATGACTACAGTTCTGTTTGTTCCCCTAGACTGAACAGAACAGTGTGCGGAACTGTAGATCTTGTGTCCCTTGACTATTCAGCCTCTTCTCAGGCAACCAGTCTCACTGGATTGTATCCTTGCAGAGCTAATTCTGTGCCTGTGTAAATGTGTAGAGCATACATTATACAAGTGGCAGCATAGTTTCAAGGTTTTTATGGAACTACACTGGACAAATCCCACCCCAGTACATTCCTTGGTCCTGTAATGTTTAGGATCATATTCCACCATCTACCCATCATCATGAATCGTATTTTGAATCCTTGTCTGCATATAGCAAGTAGTGCGGTAAGTTTTGCTGGGAGGAAAATCATTTCATTTGTGTATCAGGTCAAACTCCAAAACAGAAGAGTGGGGATAATTGCTAGTTGGGCCCCTACCACTGTAAGCCCTAGATAGGCCTTCATGTAGCCAAAGGTGATTATGTAACTTCTAAGATTTCCTCTTGATGGATAGATGATTGATAGATTTGGAATCCAAGAAGTGACAGTTGATGTATATTTTTATTTGGCCTTAAACTGAAAGATTAAAATATTTTTATTTTAAAAATAAGCAGAATCTAGCATTAAAAATTGTGATGGGATAATTTTAAAACTGTTCAAAGGGTCCAGTGTAATGTTGCAAATATAATTTCATATGCTACTATGAATCTCAGCAAGGAAGGAATAGTGACTTGCACTATTACGGGCTTGTTCCTATTTTTTGTAGTAGTTGAGTTATGCTGTGTGAGTTATATTTTTATAAGACGAGGAAAACAAGGACAGATACTTAGTTTCCTTTCCCACTACCAAACAAAAGGGTCAATTTTGTTTTGATTCTCACTTTTCTATGATCCTCTTTTGGTGCTGGGGTCGGAACCCAGTTACCTGGACTAGACAAGTGCTCGGTCTACTGCTGATCCGTGTCCCAAGCCTTCTATGTGACTTTGGATCTTTGCACTTATACTTTGTATTATTTTGTCTTATTAGTTAAGGGGGACAGGGAGGGGAAGCAATGTTTATTAAAAGCTATAAAAACTGAACTAAAGCAGTTCATCTTTTTCATTTCTGGGGCAGAAAGTATCATTGTTTTGCTTAGGCTAAAAAAAGATAAAAATGTGGTGACATGGCTGCCATTCTCAATTTTTTTCCTGATTTTTGACCTTTGTTCATCTCTTGAAAGTGCCTAGGAAAATCAAAATTTTTATGTACTTTTCCTTTCTTGTTTACTATAATTTCCTTTTTAATGCTAAAATCAATCCAACTATAAACAGAGGGCATGAGTGAAGATTATTTTTAATAGTGTAAATATTTCCTCTGTAATTCAAATGCATCAAATTGATGTACTCGATTGTTTTGAACAGGCACATTCATGTTCAGTAAATACAGTTGGTATTCAATGGACCTACAATGTGTACCAGATACAAAGACCAGCACATGGGGCCAGAAAGATGGCTCGGGTTAAGAGCACTGGCTGCTCTTGCAAAAGATACAGGGTCAGTTCCCAGCACCCACATGTTGGCTAACTGTGCCCCTAACTCCAGTTCCAAGGGATCCAACACTCTGAATTCCACTGGCATTGCATGACACAGGTACACCTACAACATGCAGGCAATACATTCATACGCACAAAAATTCTTTTGAAAGACCAGCACACATACACATACAATGGCTCATTTTCAAAGATTACAACAGAATTTTCATTCTTTAAAAACATATATTTGAAAAACTGGTAGTAAAGAAGTATTTAATTGGGGATATATAAGTATAAACTAAGATGAGGCAGACTTGACATTTGGGTGACAGGAAAGGCCAGGATCAGATGAAACATTTACTTTGGACAAGTCAGAACTCGTGTATCATCAAATCTTGTTATTCCTAGTCCTGATTATTCAAAGCACAATGTAAGACATTATTAAATATTTATACCAAACCCAAAACATACTGAAAGCCTACAGAGTTGGAGCTACTCACCTGTTTTACAAAGTGCCTCCAAGATTCTGGTTATGACAAATGTAGCAGTGAATGGTGTTAGCTGCCTCCCGCTTATCCTTTCCCAACAGAACTCTGGTTTAAAGAATCATTCTGTTCCCATGGTATCCCACTCCCAACCTGTTTTCTACCCTCTGACAACGACTGGCTCTGGGACGGACAGCATGAAGCCCCTTGATAGCAGTAAGCGCTAAGGGCTAAGTAGGGAATTCTGGGAATGTTTCCTCATAGTAAGAGGGCTTGCAGAACCCAGCCAGACTCCTTCACTGCATACAAATGAAGAGGCACAAGGCTCCAGCTGCTACTGGCATTCATCCCCTGACCACAAGGGTAGCTAGCCCTCAGATGATGCCAATACTGTGATTGGAGAGAAGGGGGGAAAACTACCAAGTTTTTGGTGGCATTACTGAATGACAGGAAAGAACAAAGCGCCTTCCACCAATAGACTTTATGTAGTGTGATATAGCAATGTATCTTACTACATTGATAAGATAGCAATATATCTTACTACACTGGAATTTTAGTTATTTGAATATTGATGCCAGAGTGGCCCCACTACAGCATTCTTAATCTATACCAAGTAAAAACCAGAGGCACCTCCCTTTCTTCATATTGTAAATCTGAGATGGACATGTCTTTCCTATTTTAAAAACAATCTTTAAAAATTTACATCTTGTACTTTTCCAATCCTTGAGCTGAATTCTATTTTTTAATTTTCATTGCATTCAGTTCATTTTTTATTCGAAGTTCTGGCTGTAGGCTTTGTCTTGAATACGTAAAACCATTTGCCGTGCATAGAAGTCCCTGTATTCCTCTGGTAATTCAGCCAGGGTTTTCAAAGCTCTGTCCAGGATTTGAGCAGCTCTTGACGCTGCCACAGGGTCTTTGTTGCCATAGGTATCTGTTTTATCGTAGCATTCAGATGGAAGGTGCTTCCAAAAGACATTCACTCCCACTCCAAACTCTTCAGAAATTACATTATGGAACCACAACGCTGGAGAAAATTTTTAAAAACAAGTTAAAAATAAAACTTACAGTTTAAAAAAAAAAAAAAAACCCAAAATGTCAGTGAAATACCACGAATTGCATATAGCCAATGTAAGAAATAGTTCTAACCAGCTCTTCCTTCGTTAGCCCACTTCCAGCTCTTAACAGAATCATTTCAACTTTTATGAACTGCCAACCAGTTTAAAGTGTCAGTAGCATAACCCTTTAAAAATCTTTAGGAATAGTAATTTTCCCTTTTAACTTGAAAGGCATAATAAAGTTGTTTTATAGTTCTCTAATTTGGGGCAGGTCTTTTGTGTTACATATTCACACTTCCGAGTCACACAACCACATCAAAAACATTTCTTTTTGGTACACAGAATATTTCAATTTGAAGAGTACGCCCAACCTTTTCTGACTCACTACAGTTCTTTTGTTCTCAAAAACTTCTGTTAAGTGGAAATTTGGTTTTCTAACTTAAGTTAGCATTCACTGTTGCTGCTTTACCTTCTGTACTTCTAAAGCAATTTGTATCCACTGTCTATTTCTTTCAAGTCCTTTGCAGTAACTGCAAAACTACAGCAAATACTTTGGTGGTGGTGGCAGAGAAGAAACTTTATCACATATACTGAATTAATTATTTTCACTAGTAAGTTCAGTGTTTTCAATGGAATCTTAATGTTTTCAAATTTTAAGTGCCAGAAGAATATTAAAGAATACCACAGTGTAACAGATGGAGTACTAATAATTTAAAAACTGTTTACTCTTGTGAAAGGAGGGTTTAGATTTTAGAGACAAACATGCTAAGAATGTTTGAGGGAAAAAAAAACATTAAAATGTTTTGATTTACAAATCAACATAGTTTCAATTTTAACTATAAGTTCTTTTAGAATTTTTCCCCTTATTCATTGTAATAGGATAGGCTAACTATTCTGATTATTAAATCTAAACATAGGAATTTTGCTTTTGTTTTGAAATATATGCAAATATTTCTAAAAAATAAGCTATATATACACAGAATAAGCTATATATACAAGTATATATATACATGGCTCTAATTGAAAGATAGGAAAAGTGTTTAATTTACAAAATGGCAATGAATTTAAGACAAAGGTGCTGGATGTTTGAAAAACATACAGTAATAATATCATATAACAATATCAACATCATATTTTTGTATCAACTATATGAAGGATGTTCTATCAGGCCTTTTGGGGAATATTAACAAGAACATGATTCCCTGTCCTCAAGGAATTTACAGTCTAACCTCAAATTATGTTATATTTTTATTCTTTAAAGTTGTTTTGAAAGTTAATTCTGTCATTCAACAAAGGTATTAAGTGTGAATATATTAATTTAGAAACAACAAATAGAATTATACAAGTAGAATTTGCTACTAAACTCCATTACTTTTAATTTTGACTTT